TCCGTGCATGCTGAGCGTTTGCCAGCTGACTCTGGGACTGCGCGCCTACGCTGTTGAGGGTGGTACAGGCCATGACCAAATACAGCTTCCACTGCTCAATCAAGATCTCGGCGGTTGTGTTACTCCTACCGAATGAGCGAGCTTGAATGGCATCAATCGGACCGTATTGAGGATACTGAGGACTCTCCGCAAGCGACGTAATGGTCTTGTGCATCAGGACAAGTCTCGCACACACGATCTCACGGCCCAACGTCACAGCGAAAGGACAGGTCTCGAAGCTAATCCGAATGATATTGGGAAATACCTTCGACCATAGTGTAGAGTCATAGGAGACTTCACTGCTGCACAGCTCAATCAGCGTGTTTTGAGTGGCGCTTCTTCGCTTGCCTTTCTGGATGCGACTCCTCTCAGCCACAGTTAGTTGTTCGTCATTGACGTCCAATATCTGTTGCGAGTCGGCCTCCAAGATCCGGATGATTCGCGTATTCTCCTTGCCGAGGGCACTGTCAAATTCCGTAATAAGGCGGAGCACGGTGATTGCAAAAGCGCGAACCCTCCTCGATTGCGAGCAAAGGAAGAATAAGCCGTGGGACTCCACCTCCTCGACCTGGGCGAGAACGCTGGAAAGGTCCAATTGCAGAGCTCTGCTCCCAGTACCAGACTTATCGCCAGAGTCCGCCGCTGCATCTTTAGTCTTCTGCTTGATCTCCTCAATCCAGATCCTCAGCAACTCGACATACAATCTCAATGTAGATTCGATGTGGCCTGGCCCAAGCATGCCTTCGTCTGACATGGTGGAATATCTCGCGTCGAAATTGAATATAAACCTTGCGAAACCGATCGTCACCTGCTGGGCATGAGATTGCCGTGCAATTGCTTTCAGAGACTCGGCAGATGAGGACGCTATGTTTGTTTGGACATGAGCGGTGCCAGTACAAAGCAGATTGATAAGAGAATTGAATGGTATACGATCCGATAAACAGCGAGGCAGGGCTTGGACCGCGACGTGAAGAAGATCGTAGAAGCCCTGTCTCTGATCTAGAATGTTAGGATGATCATCCCGTCTTCCAAAACTGAAGGCCTCCGCAATCGGGGTCTTGGGAGTTGTCCCGCCGAATTTCTCATCCAGCGCTGCCTGTCCTCCGAAAGTGTTGTCGCATAAAAGAGTTATCTTGCCAAGGATGTCACAGAACCGGAAATAATAGTCTCTGACATTCTCATTCAGTCTTGCTGTGTTTACAGGCCGTGATACTGCATCCCCCTTATTCCCTCGGGCATTTGGAAGCCGGGGGTCAGCCAGGAATTGAGGACGATGGAGATAGGTTGGAGAGGACATGTCGGTGAATGGGTTGGGGATCGAACCGGTGGGCACGGGAGGGCAAAGCTGATCAGAATTCTCGATGTCTGTCATGATGGCGAGGAAGGACCTGATTCCAATCACCATCTTTTCCGGCTCCATTTGTTCGATCTTTAGCTCTTTTCCGGAGAGAAAAAGATCCGAGCTGATCATTTGAAAGATGATGCTTCTGAAACAGACGTCGGGATGCTTAAACCCAATCATGCGTATTAGCTGGATAAGAGGTTCTGCAACGGCCGGTTCTGTACTCAGATATGTCTTTTTGCCCGGCGGAAGCGCGATTTTCGACACTTCGTCGACTTTACGCAGTGTAGCTGTGGGCGATTCTGAATACCGGAAGAAGTAGGTCCACAGCAAGCGACACATTGCCTGCAGGGCCGGCCCTCTCGTTGGCCGGTCTTTTAATCTCGGTGGGAGCGACTGGACCAGTGAAAGCCACTGTGAGGAGAAGTTTTCCTTCGTCGACACGCACAAAAGCAGCACATGGAGAGGGAAAGCCACAGTCCAATGACGAGGCTTGGTTAGCATCTGTGACAGACGGGACTGGACTAGCTCTATAAAGTCTTTCCACTTGGGCAACGTCAAGTCAGAGTTGGGACTAGCAGCCACAGGTAGGAGTAACTTTTCAAAGATATAACAATATGCCTGTTTGACCCGTTGCCCATGAGAATTACCGAACAATCGGGCCAGTGAGCGTAAAAATTCGCAAGAGCGAGCCCATGAGTCGGGTTGTGTCTTAATCCGAATATGCCTCATCCCTAGGATTAGGAGTTCGGCTTTGGCGTCACCATCTCTGGAAGGCCCACGAAGTGTTTCATCCTTCTGAATTTTTTCGAGCTCTGCCAAAAACCGAGCTGTGACGCTTGTGAAGTTGTTTTCGCTCATGATCCCTAGCACTTGGGAGTAAATCCTCCAGTTCGCCATGCGCAGAGGCGAAGCTGAGATCTGCTCGGGGTCTACTGTTTTGAGTTGACCGAAGACAATATCCTCTAAGCGGTCCGCCATGTCCAATGTGATCGAAGCAAGACTGCTCTGGTTGAATATCTCGATCAAAACCCTGCAAACCAGGTAAACGGACACCGTCGCACGCCGCTCCGCCAAGATGACATCGTCGTGCCGGGAGTAAAGTGTAGTCGCAGGAGACGCCGAGTCAGTCTGAGAAGCCGATTCTGCGATGATCTGGGGTGGCTCGGTGTTGCGGCGTATCAGGGACCCATTTTCGGATGTAGTCTTCTGACCAGCGGCCTGTTTGGCCACAATAGCGGCATCGCCTTTGGCCTTTCGCCATAGCATGATCGTATCAATCAGAGGCTTCGGTTTCTCTCGCGCGATATGACCCAAAGCAGAGATCAATTGATCAAAGTTTGAATCGACGCCCGGTCCGCACACCTCTTCAACTGGCGCGTCTGACTCACCCAGCTTCATTATAGCCTGGTTGATCTTGTTGTCCGCTTGACCTACAAACTAGGGCCACTGTCAGCAGTCGGATTACACTCGGCGAAAAAAAGGTATACACTTACGGAATTGAAGAGATGGTGCAAAGCGTATTCCCCAACCGTCTTCGACTCTGCTCCAAAATGGTGCCTCGAGTGCGAACGGCTATGGGACCGCTCCTGCCACGGCTTTCCGTTGGAGTTCATTCTCCTGTGAGCTGTACTCGCCAGGGTCCCATCAGCGACATCATCCGTATCTCTATCCTCTATGGTGCTTAGTGTGCCCTGCAGACTGTGCACCGCTCCATTGGCCCCTTGGCCCTGGAAGCCCGAGGGTCCCTCGTTCTGCTCCATTCGTACAGCGCCTGTGCCTTCTGGGTCGGGGGCGCCACCGCGGCCGAGCGAAGCGATCAATTCGGGGCTGAGCGGGCTTGTAGAGGTTGTAGAGGCAGCGAAACTGGGATTTCGGGAGTGTTGGATACCATGGACAATCGAGGTATTTCTATGATGACCGTAAGAGTTGGATGGTCTCCTCTCCAAGCCGACATCGTACCCAAGACCAGACCTCCCAGCGCTTGGTTCGGGGCTTTTGGAATGGGAGTTGCCGCGGCGAGAGTGTCGAGGTTGTGAGGATGAAGGGGCTAAGGCGGATAGGTCGGCACCTCCTCTGACCGTGGAAGTTTCCCGACTGTGCACGGTGGACGATGGCGTACTTCTCGTGACAAGGCGTTCTGGTGGAGTTGAAAAGCTATGGTGCGACACAGGGCTCGAATCGTCAGGGATGAGGGGCAATGGCGTTGGCTGGATGGGACCAGCCTTGATCGACGGATGTGAAGCCACTACCACGAACAACAAGTCAGACGCGCGATTATCCAATCACTCAGATCCATTAGAAGCGATAGATAGCAGGGTTAAGACCATCACAACGAGAATCCGTTAGGTCCGACCGAGCGATAGAAGACGGAGTCACGTACTGCTGTTGTCCGACGTCTGTCCGGGTTCAAACGCCACTCATTGCCTGCTAGTGCTCTCTTCAGTTGGAGCGAAAGAACCTGGGTGCACTTGCAAACAGTGCATGGTTATCTTCCGCACATTAGACTGGAGACGAAATCGATGGATAGGGTGGTTGTCTGGGACTGAGGTACCGTCACTTGAGCTTTGTTGCTGGAGCAGCTTCCTGCCTTTGCTCGCGACCGGAGAGGCTCTGAGCACGGGGACCATACCGGCCCCCGAGGATCAAATTCAGGAAAGAAAATCAGCACATCAGAATGATCCTAGAAACCATTCGCTCATTACACCATTCCACGCTTTTATTATGCATAATTAAGGGGGTTTTCTTCGATACCCTGTCTTTGTTTCTTTGAAAGGGACTTCCTATGTCTCAGTATATAGTATAGTCGGCCATATTGACGATACTCACCCCCAGCCAATCTTATCGGTAGATAAGAAGCACCCCGAAACTTTGGTTCCAGTCAAACTACTCTGTAGTCAAGGGTCACAACTGTTCACATAGTCTTCACCAGTATGCAGTGGCTGCTGATCTACATGTTAGGATGCATTTATAGGCTGTAACACACTGCATTCTTCAGTTTTCACACCATTGACTTTACCAGATGCCTAACCAACAAGGTTACCATAGCCGATCATGATGTGAGAAACAAGTAGAAGCCATAAGATTCTCAGATTTCAGAACTCTTGAAATGGCCACTTTAAGTAACCTAAAAAATGAACTTGGCTACTAGCAGTAATTACTGCTTGTAATGTCACTTACTCACCATAGTAGTAGTCGCGGTACAAGAAGAAATGAAATTGCTTTGAAGTAAAATGACCAGTGCGGAGACAGCCAAGAACATGATCCGCAAATTAATCTCGTGAAGAATGCAAACCAATATATAGTAGCGAAGCATTCCCGGACAGGATCGCATGTGATATACTACTGGCAATTGAACTTCCATCCCGAGTGATATAAGTCGATTGATGATGATCTTACGAGAGCCGTTTTCCATTAGCACCATGCTTACCAGTGTGACTAGATCTAGGAATAGAAGGTTCGTATAGATATGGGTCGCATATACGGAGTAGCAGGGTACGATGACATGAAACCCACAACAGTCTGACACAACACACTCCTTCTACTCCAATAATACGAAGAAAAGAGTTCGAGCTATATCAGCAAGCTTTCATGAGTGTGGCAGCAAGTCCAAGTCCTATATAACAAATAGCTGATAACACTGGTATCATTTCTGATTGTTCAAGATGGTGCGGAATTCGTCCGCGAGAAGGGTTGCCAGTGTATGCAGAGCATTTGGTGCACTAACCAGTACACAAAGTGCGGAACGGGTGCAACTTCTCCAGGAGCGGAAAACAGGCAGAAGATGTGCCGCAGTCACGAGCAGCATTATCCATGGTCAGCCACCACCTGCCTTTAGAGTCGACACGCACGGGGGCGGATTGAGCAGATGGGGTCTTCCAGTGCATCCTTGCAGACAGCTGACAGAATTGGCTGTCGGTGTGCGTATTTTGAAGTCGGTATACGAAGCATAAAGAATCGGATATGCATGGACTATGCGAGTATTACTACTAGGTAACCATCTTAAGTTCTTGTACCTGAATCCAGTTTTCTTCCCTTATTGGCAATTGGAACAGGAAACTATGATTCGCAGTTCATTTGACTGGAACTCCAGATTTTCAGACACTCCGGACTTGCCACCTCCACGGGGTTGCGGGAGAACGGCACAGAGAGATTGCCTTCATATGCCAGTCTATCACAAGAATTACTGAAAGTGGCACAGGATCTGGAAAGGCGGAACTCGGTTAGCAGAGGAACTCGGCAGCGAGTTACGGAAGATCGCCCCAGATGAAACAGAGGAACAACTGGTCATTACTGGCTGCGCCTTCATGGCTCAAGGGCCTCCGCCGCCACTTTCCATCGTCTCTCAGCCAAGCCAGGGCCGAAGTCCCCTTCCGAACCAGACGCCATCTCGGTCAACGGTCGGCCAATGGGATTTCCCCACTAAGAGGGAAGGCAATAGTAGTACTTAGTATAATAGATAAATAAAAGGAGAGAGATAGACCATCAGGCAGCTCTGACTATTACTACTTTGACTTCAATTTTAGAGTTGTACTACACATCCTCCCTACGTTTCTTTTTTCCTCGGAAGGTTTGAGTCACAGATCGTTGTCTTTGGAAACCCTCCGGCAACCGCTCTCTTAACTAGCGATACTTCCCATATCAGTGACCAGTGTTTAGTAGTAGTCTAACACTACTACTGCAAACAGACTCACAGTACTACTGTGTAGTAATATCGGATAGTGTGTCCTGACCCTGATACGAGAGATCTGATTAAGTCCTCAACAAATCGGAGTAACAGAAGGACAACAAGTTGTTGGAGTATCACTGGTCCGTTTGAGAGACCCGGACAGGATCAGCATCTCCGAAACCGAGCCTCCGAGGCGAAAAGGCCACCATCGCCTCAGGCTGCCACCACCTCTGCTCTTTCTCTGTTTCTCTTTCTCCCTCTCGTGTCCGTCGATCGTCTACTTCCGCTTCCCGGCTCACGCCCCCCAAATTATGCGGTCTGCTTAGCAGTGGGTTCGGCCTCTCTGTTCTTCCTGGATCACACCACGGCTTACTTTCTTATCCTCCTCCTTCTCCTCTTTTTCCTTCTTCTTCTGTTTTCCACCTTTTCTTTCTTTTTCTTGTTACCCCCCCCCCCCATAGCGTCATTCTTTCTTCCCGTTTTATCCTTTGGCTTCGGGGACGCCGCCACCTTATCTCGGTTTCTGCCTCGGCTCCGGTGATCGCACCTGGGACAGGCTAAGCGTAAGGAGGTGTGACATTGTTCTTTCACCTCCTCCCCTTTTCCCGCCTCTCCACTCCATTCAATCCCCGCTCCACCCTTTAAGTCTCGCCATTCAAATCAAATCGGGGCCTTTCGCTTCGCGCCGCTGAACAGCCTCACCATGGCGCAACTCGATACCCTCGATCTGGTGGTCCTGGCGGTGCTTCTGGTGGGTAGCGTGGCCTACTTCACCAAAGGCACCTACTGGGCAGTTGCCAAAGACCCTTATGCCTCCACCGGCCCCGCGATGAACGGCGCGGCCAAGGCTGACAAGACTCGGAACATCATTGAGAAAATGGAAGAAACGGGCAAAAACTGTGTTATTTTCTACGGATCGCAAACCGGAACCGCCGAGGATTACGCCTCCAGACTGGCCAAGGAAGGATCTCAGCGATTCGGCCTCAAGACCATGGTCGCTGACCTCGAGGAATATGACTATGAGAATCTGGACCAATTCCCGGAGGATAAGGTTGCAGTTTTTGTGCTCGCCACCTACGGAGAGGGCGAGCCTACGGATAACGCTGTCGAGTTTTACCAGTTCTTCACCGGCGACGACGTTGCTTTTGAGAGCGGCGCTTCTGCGGACGAGAAGCCTCTGTCCAAGCTGAAGTACGTTGCTTTCGGTCTGGGTAACAACACTTATGAACACTACAACGCCATGGTTCGTCAGGTCGATGCTGCTTTCCAGAAGCTCGGCGCTCAGCGTATTGGTTCTGCTGGTGAGGGTGATGACGGTGCCGGTACAATGGAAGAGGATTTCTTGGCCTGGAAGGAGCCTATGTGGGCCGCACTGTCTGAGTCAATGGATCTGCAGGAGCGCGAAGCTGTTTACGAACCCGTGTTCTGCGTCACTGAGAACGAGTCCCTGAGCCCCGAAGATGAGACGGTCTACCTTGGAGAGCCCACCCAGAGCCACCTTCAGGGTAATCCCAAAGGCCCGTACTCTGCGCACAACCCCTTCATCGCCCCTATCGCCGAATCTCGTGAGCTTTTCACCGTCAAGGATCGCAACTGTCTGCACATGGAAATCAGCATCGCCGGAAGTAACTTGTCCTACCAGACTGGTGACCACATCGCTATTTGGCCCACCAACGCTGGTGCCGAAGTGGATCGGTTCCTCCAGGTTTTCGGTCTCGAGGGTAAGCGTGATTCGGTTATCAACATTAAGGGTATCGATGTTACGGCCAAGGTCCCGATCCCGACCCCCACCACGTACGATGCCGCTGTTCGTTACTATATGGAAGTCTGCGCCCCTGTGTCCCGTCAGTTTGTAGCCACTTTGGCCGCGTTCGCTCCGGATGAGGAAAGCAAGGCAGAAATCGTGCGTCTGGGTAGCGACAAGGACTACTTCCACGAGAAGGTTACCAACCAATGCTTCAACATCGCCCAGGCTCTTCAGAGCATTACGTCCAAGCCTTTCTCTGCTGTTCCGTTCTCCCTGCTTATTGAAGGCATTACGAAGCTGCAACCTCGCTACTACTCGATCTCCTCGTCTTCTCTTGTCCAGAAGGACAAGATCAGCATCACGGCCGTTGTGGAATCTATTCGTCTGCCCGGTGCCTCTCACATGGTGAAGGGTGTGACTACGAACTACCTTCTCGCGCTCAAGCAGAAGCAGAACGGCGATCCTTCTCCTGACCCTCACGGCCTGACTTACTCCATCACTGGTCCCCGGAACAAGTACGACGGTATCCACGTTCCCGTGCATGTTCGCCACTCGAACTTCAAGCTGCCCTCTGACCCCTCTCGGCCCATCATCATGGTTGGACCTGGTACTGGTGTTGCTCCTTTCCGTGGGTTCATCCAGGAACGCGCTGCTTTGGCTGCCAAGGGCGAGAAGGTTGGACCCACTGTTCTCTTCTTCGGTTGCCGCAAGAGCGACGAGGATTTCTTGTACAAGGATGAATGGAAGGTAAGTTATTCGCTTTCCGGGATGATCTTGTTATCGGATGCTAACATATCGCGCACTTGCAGACCTACCAGGACCAGCTTGGAGACAACCTGAAGATCATCACCGCGTTCTCGCGTGAGGGTCCTCAGAAGGTCTACGTTCAGCACAGACTTCGCGAACACTCGGAGCTTGTCAGCGACCTTCTGAAGCAGAAAGCTACCTTCTACGTGTGTGGTGACGCCGCCAACATGGCTCGCGAGGTTAACCTCGTGCTTGGCCAGATCATTGCTGCGCAGCGTGGTCTGCCCGCCGAGAAGGGTGAAGAGATGGTCAAGCACATGCGTAGCAGCGGCAGCTACCAGGAAGACGTGTGGTCATAATCCCTCAATGCATCGAAGTTTCTTTCTTGTCTATCACGACGGCCTTTTCGATCCATTATTTTATTTCACGCCTAGATGATCTTTGCATATATACTCCGGTGATTTTGCCTATTCATCTGTTTTGCTTGGCGTGGTTCATGTATGCCTATTTTATTGTTTTGTGCACCGACCGGCCAGCCACGCATGGCAGTGGCTGTGAATGAGTGCGGTAGCCAGCGTTGAAAGAACAGGATAGACGATCATGATTATTGCGAGAACTGGGCATATTGATATCTGGATGCATGGGCCCAGAGGATACGAAAAGATGAATTCATAATAATTGCACGATAAAGATGCCTTTTCCATCTACTTAGTTGACTAGTAAGTACTCACGTAAATAAGCTGACACCCGCTGCTCGGAACACCCGACAGCGCATTGCGGTGGAAGAGTCGGAGTATATATTAGATAGTAAATAGTACTAGACATGTGAATGATTGACCACAGCCTTAATACCAATCCATACTTAGTAATACCTACTCACTAACCAGTATTCATATACATGCATTCTCATTTTAAAGAAAACTCAAAAGTTGAGAGAAAGAAAAGACAAGAAATAATATGTAAGCCCACTCCACCTCGGCAATACCGGAGTTAAGCACAACCAGAACCGGCACGCAAACCAACCCCCATCGTCATTCCCGGTATCAGTCAGTCAGTCAGTCAGTCAGGCCTGGCTGGCTGGGCTGGGCTAGCTAGCCCGAACCAAAGCTCCGCAATCATCCATCCTCATCCCTCCCATTCCAACTGATCCATCCCCTCTCTTCAAATACAACCCTCTCTTTTCCGAGCGAGGGAGAAACCAAAATACAATGAGATGCAGCAAATATTCCCACTAAATAAATAAATAAATAAATAGGAGCCTGGAGAAATAAATACATTTCCCTTTTTTTACCGCTACTCGAGTCGGTCCGCGACGCACGCAGTTCGTTCGTTCCCCGCAGTGGGCGGAAAAGCTGGATTGGGACCACCACGACGATACGCTACGCTACGCAAAACCTCGGGACCATATGATATAATTATACTGCATTTATAGGGATTGGTAGATATTCTGCGGAGATGGCTTATGTGGTGCCGATTCATCGGGCAAGTAGCATTCGGAATGCGCTTAAGTTGCATTTCTTGAATGCGGAGGAGGAGAACTTGGTTGTTGCGTTGGTGGTCCCCTTTTCTTTCTTTGTTTAGTGCTTGGTAATTGTTATGTGTATGATGTACTAATTGGTGTTATCTGTTGGAATTATAGAAAGGCGAACCGTCTCGAAATATACTCCCTCACGCCGGAAGGGCTGAACCTGGCAGCGTCATGTTCTCTCTTCGCCAAGGTTACAATGCTAGCTCGGCTTCCTGCACCTGCGAACTCGCCTACGGATCATTTGTTTGTCGGAACGGATCGATACACTTATTGCACGTTGTCGTGGGATGGGGAGAGGAATCAGATCCGGACGGAAAGGAACTATGTTGATATATCTGATCCTTCGTCGCGGGAGGCGCAGACGGGGAATCGGTGCTTGATTGATCCTAGTGGGCGGTTTATGACGCTCGAGGTCTATGAGGGTGTGATCGCTGTTGTGCCGATTGTGCAGTTGCCGAGTAAGAAGAGG